CTACTCGTCAGTCGTCCTCAGCCCCGCTCCATCTCTCTCACCGGCTCGTAAGGCAGATATAGAGAAGAGGTTGAGGAAGTGGGGTCAAGCACGCCACGGCGTTAGTGAGTGTAACACACAGAGAGCAGCTGCGTCAGGTTGTAACCACGATAACGTGAGTGCAGAGGTTGCTGTTGCTCTCATTTTCAGTCCAGTTTTATTTAGAGGAGCAGGATTTTGAATTCTGGATTTAACAGGAAGCCAAAACAGGAGAAATCTGCTGTTTATAGTCCCTGTCAGGACTCTTGCTGCAGCATTTTGGATTAGCTGAAGGCTTTTCAGGGAGTTTTTAGGACTTCCTGATAATAATGAATTACAGTCGTCCAGCCTGGAAGCTCAGTGTCATCTAGTGTGAGCTGAGAAGGAAAAGCAGACGAGCTGACAGGATGACACGCTGCAGAGCTCAGTGAGATCAGAAACTCTGCTGTACTGACAGCTACAGCTCCTCTCTCCATTTAAAACATTCACAGCAGCCAGACTTCAATACATGACGCTACAGCGCCCCCTGTAGGCACTCTGTAGGTCAAGAATCCCATCAGTGGGTCATCAGAAAAAAGATCAAAAGGAAAGAACTCAATAAAAGCAGAACATTTCTGAGACTAAATATTTAAGTCTTTGTCAATATTTTTGCTCAGTAAATGGAGATCCATGTTTCCTTGCTTTACTGCACCAGCTACTTTATTATTTTTATTAAATATTTTATAATTTTATTAAAAGTCTCTTGAGAACTTTCTGCTTTCATTACAACAGCAGGTTAGGGTAAAAGCCTGAATGATAAATGAGTAGTTTTCAAGAGAAAGCAAAGACAAAGGCCACAGTCTGATCACTTTATTGTGTTTTCCTCTTATTGTGGAATCTCAGATGGTGTAACTCTGTCTCCATTTATATCACAGCACAGCATTTCCATATTTACATGTTCAACTGCTGTTGCTGTGCCACATGTAGACATAAACACATGAGCTTTTCTGCTTTTACACTCACT